CAGTTTTACCCAGCACACAGGGGTCCTCCTGGGGTGGGAGAAGCTTTGTCCAGTAGCAGGGTTCATCTCCATCTACCAGTTCATCTCCAGTACCAGACTGGACTGGACTGGACTGGAATTTTCTTTCCTTGAAGAGGGTTTGGTGAGGGAGACCTGAGACATCAGGCTCGAAGTCTGTGTCCCTGACAAGTTTCTTCTCATCTTTTTGTCCTCTCTCCACCTCAACAGTCAGTGCAAGGGACTGGCCTGGCCTTCATTGCCTTCACAGAAGCCATGACCCACTTCCCTGCCTCGCCCTTCTGGTCCGTCATGTTCTTCTTGATGCTGATCAACCTGGGCTTGGGGAGCATGATCGGGACCATGTCAGGCATCACCACGCCCATCATCGACACCTTCAAGGTGCGGAAGGAAGTGTTCACAGGTGAGCTCTTTTCTCCTGCAACCTCCTTGGGAAGGGGTGGGGGGTCCCCACTGCCTTGAGGAGTCACTCCAGAAGAGTGTGGACATAGTAGGGAGTGAACTGGGCCGTGCTCATGCAGGGACTGGACTTCGTGGAGGTCTTGGTGTCCCTCAGGGACCTCTGCTAGCCATGCTCATGCAGGGAATGGACCTTCTGGAGGTCTTGGTGTCCCTCAATAGGCTCTGCTGACCATGCTCATGCAGGGAATGGACCTTGTGGAGATGTTGGTGTCCCTCAGTAGGCTCTGCTGACCATGCTCATGCAGGGAATGGACCTTCTGGAGGTCTTGGTGTCCCTCAATAGGCTCTGCTGACCATGCTGGTGCAGGGAGTGAACATTGTGGAAGTGTTGGTGTCCCTCGGGGGGCTCTGCTGACCAGGCCTGTTTGCTCCCCACAGTTGGTTGCTGCATCTTTGCCTTCGTAGTGGGGCTGATCTTTGTGCAGCGTTCTGGAAACTACTTTGTCACCATGTTTGACGATTACTCAGCCACGCTGCCGCTCACCGTCGTGGTCATCCTGGAGAACATCGCCGTGGCCTGGATTTATGGCACCAAGAAGTAAGGAACTTCTACAGTAAAATGAATAACTGTGCTGTAACTCCTAACTGAAAACCCTCCTTCCACCTCTTTTCCATATGGTTTTTGCTCCAGAAAATATTCCAAGGGCAGTTGCAGAGGCAGGAATTCGGTTCACTTTGATCCTCCTGCCCTGGTGTAATGCAGCTCCAGGGGTGGGTCCTTCTCCTG